CTGTTCCATTTCTATTGTCCATATAGTGAAACAAAGAGTGCCATTTGTCCGTATAAATCGTGTTCATATAGTGTGTGTGTGTGTGTGTGTGTGTGTGTGTGTGTGTGTGTGTGATGTTAATTACAATTGTCCGTATAGTGACCGTCTTCACTACTCATACTGCACTCCCACGTTCTGTTTGCTGAGTAATTTCATATTAATATCCTTCCTTCTATTGTTAGTATAAAGTCGGATTCTAAATACTAGGGTGTCTGGTTATGTGTGGTTTCTGGCACTATTCTTGCTTAATCATGTTCCACCCGAAGTATGAGCCATTCCTGTGAAAAGTACTGGAAAAACTTCCAGTGTTACCAAAGTACTGGAAAAACTTCCAGTGTTACCAAGTGTCAGGAAAATAATGGCTGACTGAGTATATAAAAAATTCATCACATTTGCAAACCTTTGAAAATCCTAGAGTCCGTATGTCAGGTGCTCAAAGAAAAGTGTATGTTAATGAGTGAATTGTGTCAGTATGACACGGTTATTTAAGACATATCGACGATTTGATAAGTACAGCATTATCGGCTGGTATACAGTAGATGGTAAACTGATGAAGATTTCAAAACGTTTCGAATGCAATTAAATAACTTTCGCTGTTTATTTTGGTGAACTAGGAAGGTATGTTCTTCAATTCCATTTCACTGGCATGATAGTGAGTTAAAAATACTGTACACCCACCCACTCAAACAAAATAATGGATTCTTCTTTCAATAATAAACTACTCACACACCCTTCACCCTAAATTAAATAAATAAAAAATAAATAAAAATTAGGGCTTGTTTCTAAATTAAACTCCACGATGAGAATATCATGTAAGATTCAATTCAACAGATTAAATTCAACAACAAAAATGCAAATGTGAAATATGTTGACCACGGCATTTAAGCTACAGACAAATAACTTTTGGAACCTGATCTTACCCCTTGGAGACAATGGTTTCGATCCAGAATTCCGAAATTTTGCCATGGTATGTGTGTATAAGCAAGGTTGGCTTTTTTCATACATTCTTTGGTGTTTTTTTTTTCCCCACATCTTACATGTTGACAGAACTGTACAAGTTTTCACGAATGTACAAATTGGCAGAAATGTACAAGCTGACAGAGCCGCTGGTGTGTTTGATTTTATATGCAGGGTTTTCAAACCAACTTGTCGTACTTATAAAGATGTCAGGAGAGGTGCGGCTATTAAATCAATCATGCACTAGTTAACCATTAAAATGTCCGGTTATTACCATAATTGAAGAGAAAATGGCTGCTCAAAAAGAGTATAGTAAACTTATCATTCATTACCACAGACTTAGCTCGCATTATAATTTTATTTATGTCAATCATACAACGATTCAGTTTCATAATTTTATCTTTGTCAAAGAAAATGATTTCATGTTATATCATAGAATGAGATTCTCTCTCTCTCCCTCTCTCTCATACACAGACACAAACACATAGACTCATACACATTGTACTTCACAATGCAAGAAATAATGTTAACAAATGGCGGTACTAAGGTTCAGTCTGCAAACCGTACCAGCCATCAATGCATTGCGATAAAACGTGCGATTTTTACCGCAGGACCAAAAGGTTGAGAGAGCAAGAAAAATTAAGTATCTTATCTTCAAAATGATTCATTCAATGTATTGGCAATTGCAGCAATGAGTTTAAGAAATACAAATAAAATGAAATATTTCCTTAATCAGCGTTAAGGGAAAGTTTCTTTGACTGTGACCTTGGCACAAAGATTAAACGGACAAGATTGCCTATTGCAGTATGAACTGTCGTAGCTTCATAAGTATTCATCCAACAAATGAAGGAAGCAGAATAGACTCTTACAAAAAATCTCAAGGCACACTTTATATCACTGTGACCTTTATTCGAAGTTTCCAGCACTGTGATCTTGATTCGAAGATCAAAACAACGAGAATGCCTGTCGCAGAATTAATTGCCTTAGCTTCAAAAACAACATTGAAGGCAATCCGTGACTGGGTTTTAACAATAAAAACAAAAAAAAAAATAAATAAACCTAAAACTTTCAGACAAATTTTTTTTTGACTGTTACCTTCACACCACGAACAAAAGGGTGATAACCTATCGCGTAAGGAACTGAAATAATTTATATTTTATATATTTTATATATACACACACATATACAAGTTTTAACAACAAACCTAGCGGCAAATTCACTCCCACAGTGAACTTGAAGGCTCAAAGGTTCAAGCGAGCGTGTCTTAGAATCGATTATTGTTCCTACATATTGACTCAAGCTACGTATGAGAAACTGTTTCGTGGATGGTGGTGGGATTTTTGTAAATATATACAAATGAACAACTTCAACCAAATACATAACCAAATGTTACCGTCGTCATTAACATGATTTTGTTTTTATCCGTGTTTGAATTAAATAATGAGAACAATGGCCTTGGACAACACATATGTAACTACTCCAGTTGAGAGTTTTATGATCGCGATGACAGATTTGACGAGATAACGTAGAATAAGTTGCTTAATTTTTAATAGCTATAATCTTAATGATGTTAAAAGAAATTATTTATGTATGGCAGTATTACCTAATGAAGTCCAATAGCGCCTAACTTTCTGTCGGGCAATATACACACCTCTGTCTCACAATACGGCGAGTAAGTAAGCGTACTGTTTTGTACTTTAAATTCTGCATTTAAGACAACCTCAAGTTTTAGGCAGCCCAGCCCCGTGAACAGAGTGTATGTGTTCATATAAGCGGGACGTATAGCTGCCAATTAATATTCATACATGCCCTAACTATAGGCCGAGGAACATACGACAAGAGGAGTTATTGTGTTTGAAATTATCCTTGTATGGAAATTGTTACGTGTAGGTAGGAATGCTCCAACCTGTCAGTGTGCAATCCGGGTGTGCCAGGGTCATTCAGTCATGAAAAAGACGTGGGCATGTGCATTTATTGGTATCGGAAATGCTCGTTCAATGTTACATAGTTTGAGTTTAGTGAATACTCCGCCGGCTTCTCATTAATACGTTTAATATATCAACGCTTGGATTTAACATAGTAACTTCGGTCTTGCCATTTGTTAGTGACAGACCTACTTGGCATTCACACATGAAGAGGTATAAAATGAGTGCAATTCTACCCCTGAATTTATGTATTATTCCATTGTTTCTAATATTTCAGACTGCAAATGCCTTACGGTTTACAGGCGAGGATAAGTCGTACGCAAAGTTCCCAAAGTGGAATGCATGTGTCAATGCGACTTTCAGTTTCGAGTTCAAAACTACGCAGACCGATGGTCTACTCATGTACACAGATGACAACGGCACGTATGATTATGTCGAAGTTCTGCTAAAAGATGGTCGAGTCCGATTACGTATGAACATCGTCGATGGTAAAGAAGGTAGCATCGAAATGTTTCTAGCGTCGAGATTAAACGATAATCGATGGCATCGGGTTGAAATTCAAAGGAATCGTATGGAAACAATATTAATCGTTGATGGAATGTCGGACAGCCGGGTTGCGTTCGGATCGGATTTCAGCTTTGGCGATATTTATAAAAATAATTTTGTATTTTTCGGAGGTCTTCCTGATTATTATTATACCTTAGACCAAACTAAATTAGAGCAGCTCTCACTGCCATCTTCATATTTTGAGAAGAGATTCATGGGTGAAATTCGAAATGTCATTTATGGAAATTGCACCTGCATTCCAGTCAGAGGAGAAATGATTGAAGGAAAGTCCGTGGAAAAATTCCCACCAGAAGCGTGCGAAACTGACAACCGCTGTGGAATTTGTCTTTGCATCAGCCGTGACGATGGTCCAGGATGCAGGTGTGTTGGTCTACAGTGTGCTGAAGGTAAGTTCATTTATTGAAAATATTATAAAATAGAGACTTTTTCCGATTTTCTTTCAGCATGTATATAATTGTATAGCGAAGTTAAGCCATACTAAAAAAGAAAAATTTTGTCATTCAAACAAATTTTGATTGCATAGCGCCAATTCTTGCTAGGGCAATCCCTTAATTTTATTATTTATAATACTGAAATGTTAACTCGTTTAACATATTTTTGCATATTTAATGTGCTAGAGAAAGATGTTCCGAGTGTACAATGACACTAATGTGTACATTTAGTGGTCATTACATTGTGACCCTCCATTTCAACTTAGCTTTACGAGAGAGAGAGAGAGAGAGAGAGAGAGAGAGAGAGAGAGAGAGAGAGAGAGAGAGAGAGAGAGAGAGAGAGAGAGAGAGAGAGAGAGAGAGAGACTTTCGTGAAATTTGGCAGTTTTCATCTAGTGGTTATCTTACAGCGAAAATGTTTGTTCCAACCTTATTTCAAATTCGCATTTATTTGTAAAGATGCGATGATATTGTGTTCGCTTTTCCACAGTAAACAGACATTGCCAAATTTATTTTGAGACCTGGTTATTACGCTTTTTAAGTAAATTGGTCTTATCCCTAATTCATCGTATTCGTGTTTAACAAAGCTTGCAATATTAAATTATATGGTGCTGAAATATGCTTTGGATGTTACTAAGTTTACTGCATCCCCCAACGTGGTTGTCAGAACACTTTTTACTCTAAGCATACGTTGCAATTACCATACCAATTTCCAGAAACTTTATCTGGAACGTGTTAAGTTTAATGTATAGCAGCTGTCCGAGAGAATGCCACTCACATCCTATTGGTGTCATGAAACATGTAAAGAATTCGTCTTTGTCATGATTGCAGTTAAGAATGTTTTACAATTTTATTTAAGAAAGAATAATGTATTTTTCAAATTTAAAGGATGATTTCCTTAATAGGCTTGTTGAGGTTACAAGTCATAGTGTACAGACAAAACACAAATAAACACAAATAAACACATGATTTACAAAGATATCTTTATCGTCGCATATTTTAATTCTGTTGGACTCGGAATTTTGGAGGTTCATTATTTGCAGAGCAAATAAAAGAATTCATGGCATACACTTTAAAAACCGCTCCAGTGGCTTAGTGGTTAGAGCGTCCGCCTCGGATGAGGGAGGTCCTGTGTTCTATCCTCGATTGAGTCATATCAAAAGACTTACAAAAATGGTACTAACAGCTGCCTCGCTTGATGCTCAGCATTAAGAGGTTAGTGTTATGACTGGTCGGCCTGGTGTCAGAATAATGTGACTGGGTGGGAAATCATGCTACATGTCTGCGTCATGATGCTCCAGTGCTAGACATCACTATAAACTACCACACTACCACACTACAGACATCGTAGCGATATGACTGAAAAATTGTTAAAGCTACGTTAAAAATCATAATCACATCACATCGCAGACAGTGCTGTTTCAGGGGAATGAAGGTCACATTTATTACTTTTCCTAAGTTATAACAATGAACGTTGTTTACGGATTGATCAAATTTTAAAATTCCACGTGACTCCAGCCAACCTGGTCCCTAAACGAAATAATGTTAATATATGGCTAATAATGAAACTGATGTTGTTCTTGGCATCGTTTTCTAATATGAACAATTATTAATAATATGGGACGAATTCATTCTTGAGTTGATTTGGAATTTAAAATAATGAATGATTGAATTTTAAAATAATGAATGAATTGTAACAGAAAAGATGTGGTTGTTTTTGGTTTGAACCTTTCCTATATACAGCTATAAGGGTTGTACTAGCTGCAGTGCTATTTGACGTTTACATAAAAATAATAGAATATGAAGGAGAGAGAGAGAGGTAGACAGGATTAACAAGGTTACCAAATGTATTATGTCAGTAATAAACTATGATGTCAGTAACGTAATATGACGTCAGTATTGTACTCATTTTCTAACGTAAATGTATGCTTCTTATCAAGCCAGCATTATGTTATTGATACGCACACTTATATACAGATGGTCAAGTCATTAATATGCTACTGATATGTACACCTTTGGTCAAGTCATCAATATATGTTATTGACATACACGTCTACACTATTGACATACATGTCTACTCGTCATCACTGCACTGTTGATATGTACCCCTCTACACAGCTAAGTCATCGCTATGCTGTCGATACGCACACCTTTGTTCAAAATCATCACCATGCTTTTAATACGTGCACCACTACATAGATCTGGTCAAGTCATCACTATACTGTCGATACATACACCACTACACAGATCTGGTCAAGTCATCACTATACTGTCGATACATACACCACTACACAGATCTGGTCAAGTCATCACTATACTGTCGATACATACACCACTACACAGATCTGGTCAAGTCATCACTATACTGTCGATACACACACCACTACACAGATCTGGTCAAGTCATCACTATACTGTCGATACATACAACTCTACACAGATTTGGTCAAGTAATCAATGTGCTATTCATACCTGCGCCTCTGGTCAAGTCATCACTGTTGTTGATAAGTACACATCTGGCAAAATCAACACTGGTTTCGATACGTACAACTCTACACACAATCTAATCAAGTCATCATTATGCTTTTGATACGTACACTTCTGCACAGAATCTGTTAAAATCATCACTAAGCTGTTGATACGTACAAACATGCGATGACACACTTAATAAAGACATTGGAAAAACATAATTATAACAGGCTTTTTCGTGCCCTTTTTTCTATCGTAAATGATACTAGTATACTGTAATGTGTATTTAATTTGTTTAGGACCAAATATTCGTAACAATACACGTACATCTTACAATTGGATAGTGCAATGTTATATATATATATATATATATATATATATATATATATATATATATATATATATATATATATATATATATATATATATATATATATGTGTGTGTGTGTGTATGTGTGTCCATGTTTTATTGACAAATATCTACATTGGAGCAAAGCCTTTGAGGTCAGTGTATTATGTGACATGTAGGATATAACTCGTTCTAGCATTCACTATGACTCGTATATTTTTTTTAGATTTTTGCAGCTTTGACAATTTCAGTCATGTTGCTAAGATGTTTGCAATGTTACAGTTTATAGAAATGTCTAGCACTGGAACATCATGCCAAATACATGACATCATGTCCCACCCAGGATAACCAGTCCTAACACTAACTTCTTCATGCAAAATGACAAACGAGACAGGATCTAGTACAATGTATTTTATAAGTCTATGGCATGACTTGGCTGGGATTCGAACCCACTTCTTGCCGCATCGAATACGGATGCTATAACCACTTAGGCCACCGGAGCATTCCTCTCTGACTTTAACTTTTCAATTGAAATAGGCTACAAGGTTCACAGAACTATTGGTATTTCTCCTACTGGCTAATCTTAGAAAAACCAATGATTCAGACGTTAGTTATATTGTTCTTATTGTTCTTTGACATGCTCTCTAGACAAAATCAACCTATATGTTATTAGTTAGCAGATGATGTCATTTCCTTGCGATTATGTTTTTATTTACCTTTTGAACTTACTTACAATACGAGACTATAGTAAATCAATGCACCGTATATCAAAGAATGCCTGTTGCATTATGTAATGAATGGTTGCTATTCTAGTAGGGTTTTTTTTTTAAAAAAATGTATCACTGTCACTTGGAGATTTTTTTTCTAGGGTACGGTGTAAAACAAATCATTCTAAGTATTCTCGACTATGATGAATGTTTTTGTGTTGTTGATTTCTTATTCCCGCAACCTATATTCCACATAGGTTAATGGCCGTTTATTGTTAGAAATGCAAACATGTAGTGGCGAACGATGTTATTGGACCGTATGTATTAAATTGTTGTACATTACAAATTATGTAGAATGTATTAGAAGACTTGTCATTTCATGGATAATGCAAATATAAATTTTGAAACTTGTAGCTGTTGGTTAGAAAGCTAAATTTTAGACAACTTTGGTATAGACATGTGCATTTATGATAGAATGTATTTCTGATATTTGACAGATTAGTTTGAAAATTAAGCCGGCATTGTTTAAGACAGACTATGTTTAAGATAAACTGTGTTTAAGGAAGCCTTTGCTTAATTAGAGATTCGTCTCCCTGCAAACCTCCAAATGTGTCTTTTCTATCTTGTTAGTTGCACGTTTTTGGACACTCCGATCACCCGTTAAGAGGACGAAATAATAATAATAATAATAATAATAATAATAATAATAATAATAATAATAATAATAATAATAATAATAATAAAATTAATAATTTAACAAAGAAATCACATTTGGTTATGACTAATCTGCCATGTGGACTTAAATTTTTTAAATAAGTTAAGTTAAAAAAAACGTCACGTACACACACATGCTCGCACACGTACTCTCACATATTTACAGTGAACTAAATATATATGTAACTATAGTGGTCAACAGGTACATAAATGAACAACATCAAAGTTCTAAATGTTGGTTTCCATTAGCGTTCACTATTGAAAAGGTAACAATATAAAAGTTTCGTGCATTTTTTGAACGCTTAAAACCCCTGCACATATTCTTAATTGTATTCATACAGGTTTTGCACAAAGTACACTAGTTTTGGGCATTGCGCTTGACCTTGCCTGTCATGTCCGAATGGTTTTGGGAATACATGGCATGGCTTTCTTGGTCATTTACTGTTTGCAACTCTCCACTGTACTTGTACAGGCATGCCTGACACAGGAACCATTCTTTCAACAGCTAAACAATAATCACCCAAATCTGCCAATGGAAGCAATTAGGTTGCCTTTCTTCTCGTTGATGATGCTGCACCCACTTTTCACCTTGCTAAACCACACTGAACAAAGAAACTATACTGATTTGACCAATTTAGTAATTTCATTTTAATTTGGAATGAGTAAAAGCGTCGGAAAATACTACTCCAATGCGTGTTGTGTGTACGAAAAGATTAACGCCTTTGTAATAACTCGTAATAAGAATGATAAAACAACTAAGATGGACATGACGTATCCCCAAATAACCATTACAGTTACCTTATTTAACATATCCAAATAACCATTGCAGTTACCTTATTTAACATATCCAAATTACCTTTGCAGTTACCTTATTTAACATATCCAAATAACCATTGCAGTTACCTTATTTAACATATTCAAATAGCCATTGCAGTTACCTTATTTAACATATCCAAATAACCATTGCAGTAATGTTATTTAACATATCAAAATAACTTTTGCAGTTACCTTATTTAACATCTCCAAATAACCATTGCAGTTACCTTATTTAACATAGCCAAATAACCTTTGCAGTTACCGTATTTAACATATCCAAATAACCATTGCAGTTACCTTATTTAACATATCCAAATAACCATTTCAGTTACCTTATTTAACATATCCAAAAAACAATTGCAGTTACCTTATTTAACATATCCAAATAACCATTTCGGTTACCTTATTTAACATATCCAAATAACCATTGCAGTTACCGTATTTAACATATCCAAATAACCATTTCAGTTACCTTATTTAACATATCCAAAAAACAATTGCAGTTACCTTAAGTAACATCTTCAAATAACTATTGCAGTTACTTTATATAACATATCCAAATAACCATTGCAGTTACCTTATTTAACATCTCCAAATAACCATTGCAGTTACCGTATTTAACATCTCCAAATAACCTTTGCAGTTACCTTATTTAACATCTCCAAATAACCATTTCAGTTATCTGATTCTTCAGACCTGATTTAACATCTCCAAATAACCATTGCAGTTACCTTATTTAACATATCCAAATAACCTTTGCAGTTACCGTATTTAACATATCCAAATAACCATTGCAGTTACCTTATTTAACATATCCAAATAACCATTTCAGTTACCTTATTTAACATATCCAAAAAACAATTGCAGTTACCTTATTTAACATCTCCAAATAACCATTGCAGTTACCGTATTTAACATCTCCAAATAATCATTGCAGTTACCTGATTTAACATATCCAAATAACCATTGCAGTTACCTTATTTAACATATTCAAATAGCCATTGCAGTTACCTTATTTAACATCTCCAAATAACCATTGCAGTTACCTTATTTAACATCTTCAAATATTCATTTAGTTATGAGTTTTCAGACCTGATTTA